ATCCGGTACTGGCCGCCCCGCCCCTACCCCGCTGGGGTCCTATAACCGGGCCCCCTATCTTGCCGCTAGCTTTGCATCACCCGCCTGTGCCCTAGCAAGGTGGTTTCGTGGGAGAAGCCCTGCTGGTATCTTCTACCCCCCAAATCGGCTGTCCCAATTTGGGGCGTCTCAAGTTGAGGAGCTGAATTTCTTCACCAGAATAGAAGCCCACAACTGGGGTTGGTGGTTGTCCCGCCCAAACAGCGAGGGTGGGTTTTTAAGGGTTAACAGTTTGGACCCTTTCACAGCTGCTGCTGGATTGGCAGTTGCTGAGCCACCAAAGGCTATTGGTTTGGCAGCAGCTGTGAAAGGGTTAATGTTAACTGGCCGTCCTCCCCGCCCTGCCCCCCACCTTGGCCAAATGGTATTAGCTGCTGCATGCAGTCAGTTGTGACTAGGAAAATCTCTGTCTACAGTTTGCCTTCCAAAAATGGGATACACATCTTATTTGGGGGCCTGTGGTATGCCCGAAAATTATGGTGACCTACTTTGTTAACACTTTTTTTCTCCTTTAATGAATGACCACCTTGGATTCGTCTAACTGGCTGCCTTGTGAATTGAGTCTTAAAACAACTAGTATAGTTAGATACAGTTTTGTGATGAATTTTTGGTACAGTAGTCAAAAAACATCCTGTAGGAGACATACTGCATAGTGTTGTTTGTCTTGTTGTGTACTTAATTTCTTTTTTTATTCATTTTCAAGGTATCTTCATATTTTAATGATCTTTTGGTCATTCGTGGCTGGTGTCGTCACATTCTATTGCTCATTAGGACTAGATTTCCTCTTCCCAAATATTCTTTTTACAATAAGATATAAACCCAAGGTAAATTTACTTTCCTTCTTCATCGTGTATAATTTTTTCTCCATTTATTTTGTAGAATAAGTGTGGAAAATGTTTTTAGTCAACTCTGTGCTCGTTAATGTAATTGTGGCAAATGCAGGTTATATCTATTTGAAACATCGCTATGATGAACAGTATTCAGGTGAAGATTAAGGACCTAACTCTGCAGACTTGTATGTACAGGCAGGCCTCAGATTTATGGCGCAATTGGTTCCTGAAAACCACATCTTAAGAGGTGTGGTGTGGGGCAGATCAATGCTCCTGCAGCGAGGGAGGGATTGGGGCTGGGCCAAAAGCTGCCCAGCTGGGGCGGGGGATGAGGGTGAGGGCAGGAGGTAGGGCATCTCTCACTACTGCTTCCACTGCCTGTCTGGGAGGACATGGGGGGGGCG